GCTGCTGGTGCTTTCGCGGCTTGAGGTGCTTTGGAAGCTTCCCATCGCCGCAATTTCATCACGCATTGCTGATGTCGTTGCTGGCAACATGGTGCTCAGCACAGTGGATCGAATAGCTCGTGTGCGACGGGGTTGGGGTGAACCGGTGCTGGTTCCTAGGATCTGGGGGTCAATCAAACTAAGATCAACACAACGTTCAGCCGGGAAATCTTGGGCGTTGTTGTTATTAAATCCAGTGTGGAAATGAGAAGCAATGCCAAAGGGGTTGCCGTCCAACGAACGGGCGTCTGTTGTCGCTTGGTTGGCTTCAGTGAAGACCGCAGGCGGAGCAGCTGATGTAGCAAATTCGTTGGCATGGTGACCCATAACACTATGTGTATGAAATTGCGCTCCTTCAGGGACGCCATTGTGGTATCCAGCGATTTCGAGATGCTGCCCTTGGTGACCCGAGATTGCGGTTTGAGTACTGGGTAAATTGAACTTCTTGAAGCAAGGAAAAAGATACAAATATCAGACATCTGCTTTTTGGGTTCATATACAATGATATTATCAGAGTAAGTGGGTATTTTGAGTCTTACTTCTGGCGGAAACTCGACGTCTAGTCGATCTGGCAACTCATCCCAATCGGACCACGAGAGTTGCGAGCTCCCGCGTACTTCTTCAGGGGAGTAATCAGACATCCTCGGGTGGAAGATGCGTATATATCCTCTCTGGGATTTGTGTTTTAATCAAATAAGGAACAATCGCGTCACCAACCCAGATCCCTGGATGCAAGACGATGTGGGATCAGGGTCTCAAAGAAAGGGCAATGGGCATGTGTTGATGAGATAGAATGAAAGGAAGTTTATGAGATGAAAAGAAACTAAAGATAATGATTTGTTTTTAAAAGCATTCTCCTTTCATAAAGAAATGTGCGTGTGCGGTCAATGAGCCAAACACGCATGTTCAACTTGATAAAGCTGAGGGGTATCAGGAAAATTCACATAGATGTTGCAGAGAAAAATCCAATTTCTTTTTCTTTTTGCAATTGACCTGGTATTCTAGTTACACAAAATGAAGGACTATCATGGTCCGGTATATAGCAGCTTCTTTTTCTTTTCTCATTCCTTTCATCAATATTCATTCATTGAACACTAAATCCCAGGTTAGTATATCGCCCCTTGTTTGGCCACTCTGGAGCTGATATGCTTAAGGGAGGGAAAGGGAGAAATGACTGAAATGGCATACCGTTCAATGAGGTGAACCCCCGAAGCCGTTTCGACAATCCCGCTAACCTGTCCTGGCTGCAGGGCAAAGGCGGCTCCTTCGAATTCAGTTTGCATTTCGCCCCGACCGAAGAAGCCCCTGGAAAATGAAATTAATGAGTTATCAGATCTCCAGAAAGGAAAAAGGATAGAAAATTGGCACGACTAACAAATCACCCTTCTTCCTTGCACTACTACAGTCCGATTCCGACATCGCAATGTCCCCTAACGTCGCCTCCCCAGCTCTAATACGCCGCTCATGACCGCGCAAGATCTCCAATGCCTCCTCCTTAGAGCGTGTGATCTCAGACTCCCGCCAGCTGCTCGGCCGTCGACTCTCGCGATGTTTGATCAGAAGATGGCTGGCGCGGATTTTGCCCTCAACAGAGCCACCACCGCTGCCGCCCGAAGCGTAACGGTCAGCGGGGCCGCTGTGGTGCTCCGCCATGTATACCTTGAGCTTCTCGGTGTCCGTGCCAGTGGGGGGTTCCCATCGCGATTCTTTGGTAGCAGGGTTGAAGTAGTAAGGGAGGTTTTTGGAATTTGAGTGGCGGACTTCCCAGCCATGTGGGAGGCCCGATTCATACTGGATGTATGGAAGTGGACGCAATGCGGTGTTTCTAAGTTAGGAATGGTCGGTCAATCGAAAGGAGGGGGGTATCATGGAGGGGTAGCGTGGTAGTGTAGGGGTGTGAGGGGCAGCATAAATGAGGTATTGATGGGCACTCGGGAGGCAACATACCATGATGAAGTATTATATTTTGAATGGAATGAAAGGAAATCGCCGGGTTTAGGGTAAGTATAGGGATAAGAAAAGCAGGGATACCACCAGAGGTCGGAAGAGAGTTGGAAATCTGCGGGCGGCTCAAATGGCAAGGAGAATAGGCTTCGCACTTGTCCCGAACCGGTTAGGCGTTGCACAATGACACCTGTTTATTAGGCCACTAGGGCAAAAGAGCTCGATCACCACCAGCGCCGGGGTGGTATAGAGGGTACGAATCACCCAATCCAATCCCCCAACAGTTTGAACTTCCATGTTATCTCAGAAAGCTCAGACGCTTCGCAGGATAATTGCTGTTTTAACACTGATTTGATGATTAGTCACTTTTTAAATTTTGCTATTTACTTGATTCAACAAGAAATAAAGTGGCCATTTTCAACAAGATACATCTATATTAAATATTGATTTTTTTTTAATATAAAAATTATATATTTATATTCTTCTTTTCTTTAGCTACAACCTAAGATGGCTCACAAATCTCAAAGATATATGACTATTGTGTAATTGCAAGTCAAAGTTGAGAAAAATTTGAAGAATCTATGAAAATCTCAATACTCTCCCCTCTAGATTGCTCTGAGCACATGACTTGTAACTAAAGTAGTTTAGTGTCATGCTGTTGCAACCGAGCCAATAGAGGGTCTGAGCTCGCAGAGATAACTTGATCACTCGATAGCATAGACTGCTCTGTATATACGAACGTACTCTATCAATACAGACACCAGAGGGGTAATCAGACCCCACGAACTTAAGGCAAAGCGACAGCGCCAATATTAATCACTGTTGTCAATCTTCCCTTTGGAGAGCGGTCTCCATCCAATAAGAAGGGGGAAAACACCGTGTGCTAATAAGTACCACATACCAGAGTGTAAGAGGACATGTATGTACGGAGGAAATAAAGAATTAACGGGCCCATCCATGGCGACTATGATACCAGAATGTTTGCGGGGGAGATTGACAGTTTATTTTGAGTTGTGAATTAATGGCTGGACGCCGCGGTATTAAGGAAATGGTATACATAGTGTTTTGGCTGTAGCAGCCGATGAGGACATGCTCTTGCTCAAAACCAGGCTTGCTTCCCATTTTCCCGTGAGATGGCCAAATGGAGTGTTCTAGTATTATATCCTCCTTCACACGGTGGCATGATCGACACAAACCGCAAGTTATGTATTCAAGAAGCCTGTTTGAATTGAACATGTCATCGATGCTTGGGCCTTCTACTCCGTAGGCTTTTTGTGGGATAATATACTCCGTACATCATTTCCTGAATTTCTGTATACAGCTTACTGTCCAGACATCATATTGAAATTCTAAATTACGGATTAATATATCTCGTACTGTGTTATCAATAGACTCCGATTGGCCAATTGAATTGCCCTGAACGCATAAACGTAGTCTGTTGCTAGGTACGAATAAAGATATATCGCCTTGTTAGATAAAATGATCAAAATTAAATTAAAATCACAAGGTGGATATGTATAGTAAATACTATTATGTATCGGGGGCGTGGTTTCTATTTCACGGTTTCTATTTTGACAACACAACCCAGGTCCCAAGACCATACTAGATGAGACTCACTGTGGCATAACACTCGGAGAGTTTCTAATACACAGGATTGTTAAGCGTAGAAGCTTAATTTCACCCCTGGATGGTAAGGGATGGATTCTCAAAATTCTATCTGTATAGATTTTGCTTGTCGTTTCTTCCTCTCCCTCGTCATCCCCGTTCGTTCGTCGTAATCAATGGGAAGTTAACCAGCAAATACTAGCATGATATATATATATATATATTAACGAATAAGAATTCTTAATCAGCGCAATATTTGGTATGAAAAACGGAAGATGAAATTACAGAAGAAAACACTGAAAACATGAAATAAGGACGGGGAGTTCATATTCTCATTTCGACCAGCCAATGTTATATAACTAGTTAGTTATATACTAGGATATATAGTAGATACATACATGCATGCACGCAGACGGAAAAACCCTTCATCGATTTACCCCGTTACAAGACAACTTTTCCTTTTCTGATATCAAAATAAGAAAATGTTAAAAAATTATGGAACAAAAAGAAGAGGGAGAAGAAGAAGAAGAAGAAGAAGAAGAAGCAGGGAATAAACCCGCGCCTACGATGCCCAAAATTTACCCGCCATCATCATCGGGGCCGCAACACCAAACGCACTGAGTCCCCAGAGCGCAAGCTGCGCAAATGTGTGCATCCCGCCCTTATATCGGCCCCTCCCATCCGGCTTGTCGGAATACACGTAGCCGTACATGTACAGGGTTCGCATGATGATCCAGGTACCGGCCAGGGCGATGGTGGCGTTGGGGTATTTGATCCCGGAGACGAGGATGGAGAGGGTCGTGAGCGACAGGTTTTCGAGGAAGTTACCGTGGGCGCGCTGGGCGCAGTTGAATCTGTATGCGGCGGGCTGTGGAGCGAGGGGAGGTTAGCTAGAATTTGGAAGTTTGAAGAAATCTTTCCTTTCTTCTAGTCTCTCTCTCTCTTTCTCTCTTTAGTTTTTTCTTTCTTTCTCTCTTTTTCTGCATGATAGGGAATGGCCAATTCCTCATCTGTGACTCTACCATACCTGGGGTAGTCCCTGACGAATGAGTGATTGAGAGATGCTGGCTGCGATGTATAACTTACATTCTGCTTGCATTCCTCAAGGGTTGCGTAGGCGTTGGGATATTTGATACCAGCCTTCTTGCGGTGTTTTGCGACCATGTATATATGGATGAAGTTGAGGAGAGGGATGGCTCCTACCGTGAGGCCGAGGATATAGCTGTTTGAGGTGTGTTAGCTTTATTTTTTCTTTCATTCTTTCCTTCTTTCCTTTTATTTCCAACTATTTCCAGGTGGAGGAATGAATTGAAGGGAAATTCTCGCCGGCAAGAATAGCATACCCGTAGTTGTCTGGAAGAGTGATAGCAACCATGATTGTTAGGAGAGAATCGAAGCAAGCAAGACGGAGAAGTGCAGTCTATAATTACTATTATGATTTGATACTATTGATGCTGCGCGAGAAGTTTGAGGAGACGAGGGGCCGCTTATATCTACATTTATAGGAGCAAAGTCTTCATCCCAAGGGGTGGATGCTTCATCCACCGGCTAGGCTACCTTGGTAACGACGCAGGATCGCCACTGACATCCGTTCGATCCTCCATCCGAGTACCACTTCGCGATATTGTTGAGGAAAAGTGTATCTGGCCAATGCAAGGGAATATCATTGTCCAGGTAACCTTTCGTCGTCATGGACCAATTTTTGCCAGGAAACGGCTGTTTGTCAGCTCAGACCCTACCATCTCGTCACCGCCGGCGCAACATCTTCCCACATCCGCTCGTAATGGAACAATCTGGGAAACCGGCGCATCAACTTCCCGCTGACCAGTTTTGTGAAACAGTCCCCAAGCTTCTTGTCTGGTCGCGGGGCTCTACAGGGGCTCTACAATAGTTAAGACGACGGGTTGATTCGATTACACAGATTCACTTCTTTCTTCGGCGCGACCAATTGCGCCGAGCGTTACAGGAGGTGAGGCGTGCGTCTGTTTGTGATTATGGACTATGTGTCGAATCAAGAGTGGATACGTATGCTGGGTCACTAGTTATCTGTGGGCATTTCTACTCCGTACTGACAGATACGAAGCATACAGCAGGATCATCAGCTCGCTTGTTTATAGCGGGGACCCCTTGATTTGGGTTCAAGATAGGATACAAAGCGGGAAGGGAGCGTGTAATAGAAAAATATTCACGGGATCGAATTTCTGTTGAAATCTTGCAAGACTTATTGCATTCACACGCTTCCATTTTGACCGATTGTCTGTCTACACCCGCGAGGCAGCTAGTAGAGCACAATTTGTGCCATGACCCGCCCAGCCTATGTTTTGAGGAAACCTCGGCTGACTAGATTTAGGTTGAGAAAAGAGTTCAAGGAGTCTGTCAGCCTTATAGTTCATCAAACAGTCAAGGGGCTGATCAGAGATAACGGGTAAACACCCTTTGTATTTCACAGTGTGTCCTGCTAAAGGAGAGAACATTACTGGCAAGGGAAGAAACTGTCCGAATGTTTCTCTTACTTGCATCTGCGCAGGAATGATGGAGTTGGTTTTTATCAGAATTGTCCCGAGGCTAGCTGGCTTAGCTAATCCCCGGATATCTTCCATCGTCCGCTCGCTTCTACAGGGATGAGACGCAAAAATATTTGAGCGACATTGCTCCGTTCAACGGCAGCACTGCGGGGGAAAACCTGCCCAGACCTATCTCTCAACTCCTCTGCTCTCCCTGCATCTCGTTCACAAGATGGTCCCGCGACACCGATTGACTTGGCGGCTGCGGCTTCTGCGCTTTCTCTCCCTGTATATCTACCCCCTTGAGACACCGCTCCAACTGCGAGGGACTCTCACCCGCCTGCGGCATAATTACAAACATCCTTTCCTCGAACTACTCCGCCTCCTCCTCCCAATACCAACGTGGTACTTCCCCCTCCCAGACCCCATTCCCTTTCGAACAATGCTGGGTAACGTCGAGCTCCTTGACTCTCGACTAGGTTCGGTAAACTATCCAAGCATGCGATCCATACCTCTCTGGCGAGCAAGAGACACCCCCCTCCGCTCCATCTACCGGATTTACGAGGCGATAACCGCTCGCGAGTGTGTGGTGATTGGTTCGGAGGTGGAGTATTTCTTCTACCAAACGCGGAAAGCTTGGGCTATTAACCGTATTCTGGACCCGTGTGATTCGGACCCCGTCCGATACGCCATTCTTGCTAGCATTGTTGAGGAGCTCGCGTGTGCATTTAACTGGAGGATGGGTCTTGGGATGCGGCGTGATAGGAGGAAGCATATATACCGTGCGACAATGGATGAGGTTCTTCCGCCGTTCCCGCCGGAGACTGCGCCTGCCTGAGCTGCCAGCGTGCCTGCGATTGATGTGCAGTGGGTTGCAGACTTGCCGGGCGATGCGCTAGATCCAGAAGGCAGACTCGTGCTTGAAAAAGGTGCAAAGAATGCTCGATTCCTCAAGAGAAATATTTTAGCCGGCACGGGGTACTTCTACACAATTTAGATATATTGGTGTGCCAAAGTAAATTCCTCCTCATTATACATACTTCGATACGCAGCGGCAATTTCATCCATGGTTGCACTATCGGGTAACATTTCTGTGGAGCACATATTCAGCGTCCGAATGTACTCCCTCACGAGCGGACCGCCATTGCGCACTCTCAGTCTTCAGCAGTGCCAGAGCATCGCTAGTATCCGAATCCCGTTTGTGATCCTGCATACCATTATGAATCCGCCGCAGCTTCCTTTCTAGCGCCCATTCCAACGGAACAGCAAGGATGCGAAGATCAGACCTTCCCAGAGAACAATGTTCTGTTTCTTTGCCTCTTCGAACAAGAGCTGCCGAGATCTATAAGAGATGAAAAAGGCCATATCATCATTCGCCCAGCCGTCGACAAAATCCAGGGCCTTCCCGGTACTCGACACGGCGTTACGCAGCGGCTCCTTGATATCCTCGTCATCTGCCCATTGGGGCTCTAGGAAATAGTCGAGATCGCTGGTGCTTTTCGCGATTTTTCAAATAGCTGACGGCGAGGAATCCGCCAGCGGAGAGTAAAGTAATCGGTGCAAACGCACAAATCCACGGATCCCTGCCCATTTCATTGTCAAGAGTCTCGAGGCCTTACATAGTAGTTGCAAAAGCAATCCGTAGCGTTAGCGCTATCCACTTAACTTCCCCTTGCCTCAAGAACGTTTCCTCTGTCGTCAAAAAAATACCTTTCCTGAAGTCATCAGCATCGATCTGTTTCGTTCTCTCATCCATGTTTCTCATCTGGTTTTCACGAACAGGGGTTCCCCCGCCCCCTTTATTTCGAAAACGGTAGAGTTAGTATTTAGTTTAAATAAATGTAGTAGGATCGGAATTTCAATGTATTTTTACTGACTTTAGACAAAACAATCTAGCTCTAGCTCGGAGAATGGATTGGGACGACGAATGCTCGCGAACGATCTAAAAGCGGGGATCCCCCCCCCAAAAATAACTGCCCTACCCTACTGACCCCGTTTTTTTTTCCCCCTTGGACCATTGCTTGGTTCGATTAGCGCGAGTTCTAGCTAGCTACAGTAGCTACAGTATGTACGGAGTATGTACTGTACATATATATACAGTAAACCATGTAGTTAGTTGCAGTTTGCTCTGTAGTAGGTATACAAAGTTGCTCCAACTTTCAACAACAACAACAACAACCTCCTTTTCAGGTCTGCGATTGACTGGCCTGCTTTTCAAAAATTAAGAGTAGAGTCAAAAAAAGCCAGATGCAATGCCCCCACTGGCCGCCCCTATTGCTCCCGCCC